TGAGTAGGGACAGGCTGGGGCCAGCCTGCATTGGGATTTCCCCTCCCCCTTTGGGACCGGACCGGCCAAGGCACATTTTGCCCTCACGGAACTGTAAGTTTTACCCAGCATAGCGCTCTCCTGTTGGGTTCTCTGCATAATTGAGCCTTTCCTTTAATACAAGTTTTGTTAATTGCAACCTGACCGGTATTCACTGCTGCTACACCACACTGCAGCCACCCATATGTATATAGCCTCATACAAATATGACATTTGCATTTTACGAAAAAAAAAACCCTTTTCTAGATATAGCGCCTCTAATATACAAAAATATGTGCATAAATATAAGATTTTACACCCACACTTGTCTTCTCCTGGTTTCGTCACAGAATAAACTTGGTGAAAATGTTGAGTTTCTTTAGTACAAGCGGAGCCTCCCTGCTCTGTTTCTGCACAATATAGAGCAATAGGATGTGAATAAACACAGTTTTAGAAAGTGTTTTGTACTTTACTTGAAATATATCAGTCTTCATTACTGCTTATTGCACACTATCGCTGTGCTAAACCGAATAAGCCATTTGTCTTTCCTATGTTCATAAGCTGGCCAGAGAGGAACTGCGCTTCAGGTAATGAGGGTTAGGAAGAGAAAACCGAACCGCCACAAAAAAAAGAAAACAAAGCGCTGTAATATTGGGGGTGACATGTAGTTATTCTAGAGATAATTAAGAGATATGCTGCTTGCTCTAATCTGTTTTTATTCTTGATGGATGTGCTAATCTGTTCCATTGTTCCGCATCAAGGATTGTAACAAATTGCGGTTGTCACGGCAAGTTTTTTAGTGCCAGAGATGTATTAATTCTCTGTTCCTGGGTTGACATTTCCCCCGTGTTATGTATGTCTGCATTACACTCTGTCTGACTGTCAAGCTTCTTTACCACGGTCACTGGGGTGAGAGAATCAATCAGTTCTTCTTACCCAAACATGGTGATAGGTTTTCCTTTCTGCATAAAGTCTGCAGGGGAAAGCCAGGATAAAAAAATTTAAAATAAAAGGCAGATCCACCTAAAACTGACATTTCAGAGTGATGCTGAACCCTATGTTTGCCAAGGGAAAACTTATTACTGTTGGTGGGGGGAGAAAAGAAACTGACCTACAATACAGACCAGGGGACCATCATCCTTGTCCTTCATTCATTACTTAGTGGGCTGCTATCCTGGAGAAACCATGCTTGGCTATGAATAAGGTTGACAGCTCTGAGTCTTGTCTGAAAGGCAAAGTAGTAATGGCAACAGCCATGGAGTTCTCCAGGTTTAACTGATTTACTTCAGGAAGAAAAGGTTGTACAGGGGGAGCTGGGAAGTTATTTTACCAAAATACTCCCAGCTCCTGTTCTAACAATTGTTTAGCTTTACACCTATTTGTATATTCCGGTATTTACAAGGTGTTGGCATGTTACTATGAATTAACGACTTTTCAAAATGATATTCTAAAGCCCCCATACACAATATATGACCTCTTAAAGATAGCACAGGGCCAATTCATTCAGCACGGCATATCTAGATGGTGGGAGAAGAATGGAGCCCTTAATAACTGAAGCCAAGATACCAGTGCTGCAAAGAAAGATTCAGAGAAGATTGATATGTGACAATCCTTTTCAAAAGCCACTAGAGCAGGAGATCTACCACATTACTGAACCTTCGCCATCGCTTCTGTGCTATTTAGAAGATAAAAACCTGAGATTAAAGGTGCCCTGTGAAAATTGTAAAGTCAGTCAGCAGGGTTAGAAATGTTCAGCTAGCCTTTGGTAAGATATTCAGAACACAGCAAGGCTGCCACGCCAGTGTCATATGGCACAATATGCTGACATTGATTGTTTTTAGTGGCACAATTTGCTGACACTGCTTCCTTATCAGAGATCTATAAATATTTTAGAGCTGTCTGTGAGTCCAGGCTCTGTTGAAGTCATACCTTTTTCAAGTCCTGAGGAAGGAGGAGGGTGCAGACCTCCAAAATGTATTGGCATTTATTGCTAATCATCCACTAAATTATCTTTTCTGTTTTATCGTTTCTATTTGGATCTTCCACTAGCCCCCACCCCCTAATCGAGGGTACTCCTGTTGCTCAGTAACAGACCTACCTAGGCAATCCAACTGAATAATAGACTAGATGGTTGTTCATGACTCTAGGCATCAATGGAAAGAGATCCAATGCCTCCTAAATTTGTATTCAGTTTTCAAGTTTAAGGGTCAGTCCACACAAAACTGATCTTTCACTTATGGGTGGAGACGTGTGGGCAGAGCCATTCTTGCATACTAAGGCAAGATCTCCCTGCTGTAATTCCTAGCTTCTCCTGTAACATACTCTGTATTATAAATGTAGCCCAGTCTGCCACTCTGGCAGGAAAAGGACTGCTACACAGACGCAAATGCAGGAGAGGCTCCTATTGCAGAACATAGAGCAGCCAGTGTTACACTACCTTTCATCCAATAGGGGGTTCACTGAGAATGTGTACTGCTAGAGACTCGGAGGCACGGGTGAGTGGCGGGGCGGGGCAGAGGCTGTGGGGTGGGGATGCAGTTCCCAAAGGGGCTAACTCTGCATTACACCTTAATAAAAGAGGAACAGAGTTGTCTGTGAAGGATACACAATCAGTGCCTGCACCAGTACCTAAAGGGACTATTACCATGAGCACTCCACTATCATGGTTGGGCCCCAATGGGTTGCCCAGCAGATAACATACTGGAAGCATACTACTTGCTGAATTATTATTGTGGCATATATATATCTACCCCCCCTCCTAGTTAGGATTGCCCCGAACAGGGTTCAGGGGGGCTTCTATTTTATACCAACTATAGGTGCTGCAGCATTGTACTCCTATTGCCTAATTATTGTTACTGCTGTATACTGCTTAACCATTGCAGTATAACAGCTTTTCTCAAACGGGGTGCCGCCTGAGGTAGAGACATCCCCAAATAGACTTACAGCTGTAAATGCAGTGAAAGGTGGTCCTACAAAGTATTGACTCAGAGGGGCTTAATACAAATGCACGCCACACTTTTCACATATTTATTTGATGTTTTCCTTCCACTTCACAATTATGTGCCACTTTGTGTTGGTCTATCACATAAAATCCCAATAAAATACATTTACATTTTTGGTTGTAACATGACAAAATGTGTGAAAATTTCAAGGAGTATGAATACTTTTTCAAGGCACTCTATGTACTGTACACATACTGTATGTATGTGTATCTTTACAATCAATTCCTTGTTTACGGTTTTGCAATATACTTTTTGTTAATCAGTTGCATCAATCCTGGTGTCTATGCATCTTGAGCCATTGGTGTGCATATACAGTTTTCTGCAGTAAACATTCCCCTCTCAGCCACGTTTGTGTGTGTGTGTGGAGCTTTTTTCAGAGTCGTGGGCACAAGAACAGGGGACCCAACAAATTAAGCAGCTCCTTAATGGCTAGACACTACATAAAATAAACAAAAAATGCAGTAGGGATGGAGGGAACCGCTCATATTAACCACAGAAAGTGTGTTGATCTGTGAACTCAGTGCTGAGATCTCACCCAAGAGAGCCCCCAAGAGATACAAGAAACTGTCAGGGGATTTAACTTTTCAGTATCCAGCCTTTCTCATCAGGTTCCGTGAGGTTGCTAGGGGTTCCTTGAGGAATTTCTGCTTCTCAGATAACTAACCACTGACACCAGTGATCTTTTTGGCTATCTATAAGCAGGGCATTTTTTCCAATGATCACAAGTATAAGGCACATTTTCCCCAGAAAGACATTCAAGGGTTCTTTCTTGTTAGGTTGAGAAAGGCTAGATTAAACATTGAGGTATTGGTTTTTGGTGGTGAAAATTACTACCTTGTATGTTTGAGTCTTGTACACAAAATAAGCTCCATCATGTGTGAGAGAAAAAAAAAATATTTTTTAAAGCTCCTAGAAGCTGTTATGAGCTTTTTTTTCTACTCCTATTCTAGCCTAGTAGCGTTTTCAAGTTTCAGCATTCATGAGCATAAAAAAATTGTTTTTGTAGAGTTTTTGGGAGCTTTTTTCTATCAGAAAAAAATCTGAACACTCCTTAACGTAACTAAAATACTCCCAATGACTTTTTTCTATTTTTCCCCCCCCTACATGTACTGTAAAAACACTAATAAGCCACTGATGCTCCTAAAAGCTACTAAAACGCTACTACAAACCAGCACAAAAAAAGCTACTATCAGCGTTTTTCATCCAGCTTTTTTTTCTAATGTTTTTTGAGCTTGTAAAAAATGCTAGTGTGCATGGAGCCTAAATGTTTGGCGTGTCCTATATATGGACAGATTTGACCACAAGTTGAAAATTCGGCTACTGAGAATCTCTTATCTTCATTGCTGGAATTTTTGATGGGTAGAAGGCAATCCAGAATGGATGTTTGTTTCTTTTTTACAAAATGAAAAGTACGGTATTTGATTTATTAGACGACCAGTTTCAGCTGACGACAATAACAATTTTATGAATGCATTGTAGACAGGGTGCCTGTTTTCTGGTGGGTTTGTGGAACGGTTACTATTATAAGGTGTTATAGATGTTATAGATAGACTGAGCTAGCAAAAGGACACTTGAATAGGTGCTCATTACTACTCATGTCTCAGCTTTCATCTCTGAGGTTGCCATCAGGTCTGCAGACACCAGTGATATACAGTAACTTGGTCATAACTTCTGAGAAATGTAGAGAATCCTCTAGTCTACTGGCTTCATCAGTGGGGACATGACGCCAATAATTAGCTCAGTATAAACACAATGCACTCCACACACATTGTCACTGATTATAAGTAACACTTGAAATTGAAAAAAAAAAGCAGTCTTCCGGTATTTGTCTAACAAGGCTATTAACTATCCTTCTTTTTCATATTAAGTTCCAACTGTAAAGATTTTTTTGTTATATCTTGAAAAAACACAAAAATTAACAGTTTTCTTGTCTTTCCTCTGCTCACAGGTGAACCAGCAGATGTTTTGAAGGTTTTAGATTTTCCTAATTTACCTGATGGAGTCCAAAAATCAACAGGATTCTGCGCATTCAGAAAATCAACAAAGGGACCAGATGTGGCGTATAGAGTGTCGAAGAGTGCGCAGCTTAGTGCCCCCACCAAGCAGCTCTTCCCAGGTAAGAGTATAAAAACTATATTTTGAGAGTGGTAATGTCACTCCTGTAACATATAACATATCTTGAGAGTGATTATATCACTCCTGTAAAATATAACCTATATTTGGAGAACAATGATTTCAAACTGTTAAAATATAACTTATATCTGGAAAGTGGTGATGTCAACCGTGTAATATATAGCTTATATCTTGCGAGAGGCAATATAACTAATTAAAAACGATGAGGTCACTCCTGTAAATATTTATACAAAAAAATCACCAGCGCCAAAAAAAGATGTTGTGAAATAATTCCCAAATAAATACTGCTGCTCCTTAGTGACAACACTAATAAAATCACAAAAATACATCAAAACAGCGCAAATAAATAAACACTCAAAAATTATATTAAATAATAAAAAAAATCATACAGAAAAAAATAAAATAATTTAATAGTCCCACTTCAAAAAATAGAATATGGTGAGTAGAATGAAATTGAAAGTCCTTATTCCAAGACCCTTGACCAGTGTTCACACCCGTTTGTGCTAAAATCACATACCGCACTCACCAGATATTGGTGAAAAAAACGCCTTATGTTTGGGCTCAGGAATCCTAGATCCCCTCAACTCAGCCTCCAATCACCAAGTCAAGATGGAGATCTCCCAATGCAGGTAAAGATATATGCCTCAGAACTCCAAACCGTAGTTTAAACTCTTGTAAATATAACCTATATCTAGAGAGAGGTGATGTCACTCCTGTAAATATAATTTATATCTGGAAAGAGGTGATGTCACTCCTGTAAATATAATTTTTATCTGGAGAGAGGTGATGTCACTCCTATAAAAATAATACATTTCTGGAGAGGTGATATCACTCTTGTAAACATAACTTATATTTGGAGAGAGGTGATATCACTCCTGTAAATATAATTTATATCTGGAGAGAGAGGTGATGTCACTCCTGTAAATATAACTTATATCTGGAGAGAGGTGATGTCACTCCTGTAAAAAATAATTCATTTCTGGAGAGGTGATATCACTCCTGTAAATATAATTTATATTTACAGGAGTGATATCACCTCTCCAGAAATGAATTATTTTTTACAGGAGTGACATCACCTCTCTCCAGATATAAATTATATTTACAGGACTGACATCACCTCTCTCCAGATATAAGTTATATCTGGAGAGAGGTGATGTCACTCCTGTAAATATAATTAATTTCTGGAGAGGTGATATCACTCCTGTAAATATAAATTATATCTGGAGAGAGGTGATGTCAGTCCTGTAAATATAACTTATATTTGTAGAGAGGTGATGTTACTCCTGTAAATATAACTTATATCTGGAGAGAGGTGATGTCACTCCTGTAAATATAACTTATATCTGGAGAGAGGTGATGTCACTCCTGTAAATATAATTTATATCTGGAGAGAGGTGATGTCACTCCTGTAAATATAATTTATATCTGGAGAGAGGTGATATCACTCCTGTAAATATAAGTTCTATCTGGAGAGAGGTGATATCACTCCTGTAAATTTAATTTATATCTGGAGAGAGGTGATATCACTCATGTAAATTTAACTTATATCTGGAGAGAGGTGATATCACTCCTGTAAATATAAGTTCTATCTGGAGAGAGGTGATATCACTCCTGTAAATTTAATTTATATCTGGAGAGAGGTGATATCACTCATGTAAATTTAACTTATATCTGGAGAGAGGTGATATCACTCATGTAAATTTAACATATCTGCAGAGAGGTGATATCACTCATGTAAATACAACTTATATCTGGAGAGAGGAGATATCACCCCTGTGAGATATAACGTATCTGTAAAAAGGTGAAATTGCTTCTGTAAATTATATCTAATATCTAGAGAGTGGCGATGTCACCGCTGTAAAATGTACCTTATCTCTGGAGTGTGGTGATTGCAGTCCTGTAAATTATAACACCATTATCCATGTACAATATAGCGTATATCTTAAGAGAGGTGATGTCACTCGTGGGAAAACAATGATGACTCTCATGTAGCGTACACTGCAACTTATATCTGAACAGCGGTGATATCACTCCTGCACAATATGTATAACAATATATATATATTTGGTTCATGGTGTAATTATACAGGTCACTTTTGTTATCCAAATTTGGAAGGCTGTGAGCCTTTTAATGCTAAATTTCAGGCAGTTATAAAATAAAAAAAATGATGCAGCCCTTTATTCCATTATTAGATTATTAAATGTATTTTATTTTAATGGAAGCAGTGTACATACCTGAATTTGGCATCAGCCTCTTGTAGCCCCTGTATAGTAGAGTTGAGGCTGGGGAAGGTGGAAGCAACTCAACAATCCAGTCAGTTCAAGTGAGTATGCTAATCATGAGTCTGTCGCTTTACCTTCACTATCAGGCTGGGGGCTGAGAGGAGAATTGTAAGACCTTATTCACATGGCACTTTAACTTCAGATGCTGCAACAGTCCAGTGTGTTTCTAAAGCTAGATTCAGAGGTGTTTGCAGGCAGATGCAGCTGCTCAGCTCATACAAAGCAATGACAGGTTGATAGTGGATGTCTGTGGTAGTTAACATTTAGTCGTGTATAGAGTGAGTACCTGTGGTTAGAGACAGATGATCGATCTTGGACACAAACAGTTTGCATCCATGAGTGATTATTGGTCCCTAATTGCTGATAATTACTCAATATGTAATTGCAATCGAATACCCAGGGACAACTGCAGCCACTGTCAGCCTGTCATTACTTTGCACAGACTGAGCTGCCACAACTGTCTGCAAGCAGCTGTGATTCCAGCTGCAGAAATCCACAGGACTCCTACCACACCTGAGTTAAAATGCTGAATGAATGAGATCTAAGTATTACTTAACTGCTATGGAAAAAAATCAGGTCTCCTGCCCTGAACGACAGGGCTGTGATGTGTGCTGTGTAAATCTCAGGATTGGATGGACAGAAATACAAATCCCTTACATGAATTGCATCTGTGTATTTAGCTGCCTGCCTGGAGTTCAACTGTAATATCCATAGAGTGCAGTATTTTCATAAGTTAATTTTGTAATTAAAACCTTTTACAACACTTTTGTATTATTGGTATTCTTGGCTCTGCCTGATAAGCAGATTGAGCAACAAGGCGTCATAACCTTCAGATGAACTGTATTGGAACAAAAACATTTTTCCTCTGGTAATAGGGTGAATGTTTGGCTGCCCAAGTGCCCATTCACCCAGCTAAGTGTTCCCATTTCAGCGGAGGTCATCTAAATTGTACAATAAGTTTTACTTGTCACTGTGATAATGATGACAGGAGACACTTCACTCCCGGCCCCTGAATATTTCTGAAGCTGATGAGAGCTGCTGCTCCTTCATTCACTGGACTAAATGGCATCCAGAGAGTTATTCTGAATTATTAGTGGGGTTATAAGAGATGATTATGCCCCATGAGTGAAATTATGATAATTTAATGGACACAACTCCATTACCAACTCTACTGCTAGGCCGTTTTACTGCACAGAAAATACACTACAGTGCCCCTTTAAAATAGAGGGATTTAAATGGAAATATAATTGTAGCATAAACGAGATTCTTTTCATGTTGTTCTGGTTGGCAGCTAGTGAATGCCTTTAGCATTTTAATGCCCCTAAAAGCTTCACCCCCTCAAAATAAAAAATCGATAAGCACTAGGTGCTTTTTTCTAATGCTGAAGCTTGTAGTTCTTTAACAGCTGAGGGATTTAGAAGACAAAAAGGAAAAATGAATTTGCAGCCACATTCTGGCAATGAGCAGATGTCTCGGTTTGCCCTGTGTGCTCAGCATCATGTTAACAAAACATTAAAAAGGCCAACTTAAAGCAAAGATACTCAAAGGACCAACCGATATATCAAAACCTTTTAGCTGATGTCATGAGAAACTTGAGATGCTTTTCCTTGGTACCAGCATTGTTTACTAAAAGTCAGCACAATACGTTTACCATTTCTTTGGACTACTTATAGTTTATGGTGGTCAATGGCTTATAAGTGAAAACACATTCTTGCACAATGCAGCTTTCCTCAAACAATACCATCCTTTGGCAGGCTGAAAGTTTGTGTTTGTCAATGGATGAATGCGTGCTAGAAGAAACAGTAGAGAAGAGTCTTTATATATAATCTGCAACCTACAAGACCTGGTCTGTGAAGCATTTGTGTGATGGGATGCTGGAATAATGTGATGGGAGTAACACTGCCTTTCCACTAAACTGCAAGATCATTTGGCAGAGTCATTGATAAAGCTTGTAGATTTTGTTCAAAGATAATGAGGTAGTCAAGCATATCAACAACAGCAAAAAAGGAAACATCAAAAAGAACTCTCACAATAATTATAAAATACATAAACTTTGTATTCATACAAAACATACTTAAAAATCTGAGAGTAAAATTACATCCCAGTAGCTAAAACTTTGCACATAATGTATGTACCCTTGTAAAAACCTTCTAATGTACAATCACGGGTATAGATGTGAAATACATGAAGAATGAAACATGACACAGAAGCAAACAAAATTATTAACCAATGTTTATGCTTAAATGGGGTTAAGCTATTTGTTCAGGAGGCTATGCAATATGTTCATACACATAGTTTGGATTAGGTCTGACATGGTCTTATGTCTGTCAGTTAGCAGACATCTCTAGAGCTGGCCATACACACTTTGAATGTGTCTTATTCAGCCCCACAGGCTGAAAGAGAGAAATCCATTAAGATTAAGGAATGGTCTATATTTCTTAGAAACACGTTCCCCCATCACTCTATCCAGATCTAAAAAAAGTTTTAACTTTAAAGAACACATACTGTACATATACTTTCCTATGCTTTAAGAATGGCTAAATCATATAAGTCATTTTACTGTACAACAGTTACAATTTTTGGTAAGCACAACATAAAACACAGTAGAATGCATCCTGTGCACTTCTACTCTGACTCCTCAGATTACTAACATCATTGGAACATACTGTATATAACAACTACATTATTAAGGGCAAAGCTT